GTGCCTCTTCAACTATGCATGTTCATTGGGGTTCATCCTATAGTGAGGCAAATTGGGAAGGTTGCTTCCGGGATTAAATCAATTGCGTGTTGGATGTCACGCATCAGAGGTAATTGGTCTGGAAGGTCCTCAGGGAAGACATCAGAGGATTCTTCCAACACAGGAGCGATTTCTGGAGGAATCACATCGGTAATATCCTTAGGAGCTTCTCTAGCAGTGAGGATGAAAATGAGAGCTCCATTGGCTAGCTCACGATCGATCCCTTTGGCTCTAATCAGGCTAACGCATTTGAATGACTTGGCTGGATTGGGCTGCTTGTCACTACCTTTCGGCTGAATAGTAAAGATCTTGACCTTCTTTCCGTCATGCTCGAACAATAGTATGTTTGACCGTCCAAAGATATGAACATCGTTATCAATCAACCAGGGTCTTCCAAGAATAACTTGACCCACATCCATCTTCAGAACATCGCACCAAACCTTGTCCTTGTAAATGGCAAAGTGAAGAGGGACTAAACACCTTTCTTGGACATGAAGTGCAGTGTCATTAATCCATGATACCTTGTATGGATTAGGATGATGTATGACTTTAAGACCAATCCTGGCTATCACGGTTGAGGAGACCGTATTAATACAACTTTCACTGTCCACGATCACTTTGCATTTCTTATCGCCAATCTTAGTGAACGTGTGGAAGATGGAAGTACGTCTCCAATCATCAACAGCCTTAGGTTGGGAGATGACACATCTAACAACAGATATGGTAGGGATCTCAATATGCCTAAGACAACCTAGGACAATATCATTTATATCTTCCTAAAAATCATCAGTATCATCGTCAACTTGATGGACAAATTCATCCTCAAGTTCAGGTTCATATTCATATTGGCCATCGATGATAGAGATCTTGTGACGGGTCGGACAGTTTGCAGAATCATATTCATATCCTTGACACTTGTAGCAATTGACATGAGGGCCAATCTTGGAGAAATCTGACTCCTTGCCCTTGGGGTCAACTCTAGGCTGGGAAGAGTTAGGGTTAGGTCGACTCTGAGGTTGATTAGAGGTAGTAGCACGGGAGGACTAGGAGGAATGAGTTCGCAAATCTTGGTTCCTATGGGATTGGTGGGATTTAGCCTCATCCAAATCTTGAACTAAGGCGTAGGCTCTCTCAAGGATGTCTACTCCTCTAGCAAAGAGTTCTATCTGGAGGTCATTTCTTAATCCAGCTCTAAATTTTGATAAGACTTTCATTGGTGCCTCTTGCTTAAGGGTGCTGCATCGAGTAAACAATTCGTCAAATTGAGCAACGTACTCTTTTGCAGACTTGGTTCCCTGAGTAAGTCGATGTCACTTGTCTAGCAATCTCTGATAGAACAATAACGGGAGATATTTCATTTTTAGCTCGTCGGCCATTTCTCACCAAGTTAGAATTGGTAACTCATCTCTAACATGCCTTAACATTTCAAGGTTGGACCAATATTGGCAGGCTTGTCCGGTAAGCTTCATTGCGGCAAACTTGACTTTTCGCGGTTCTATCAGGGCGTACCAGTCAAAATAGCGATCCATGTTCTTTGGCCAGACCAAGAAAGCTTTTGGGTTGAGCTTATCATCAAAGGTTGGTGCTTCGACCTTAATGCTCCTTAGGTATTGAGCATCTGGATCAGGGACAGGTTGAGGTGGGGGTCGATGAACGATGTGCTTATAACCATTCCCTTGATCTTGCGGCGGCGGAGTTGCTACACACGCTTCTTCAAGCCTAGCGATCCTTTCGTTGGTTACATTTTAGAAGTCTGTCAAGGTCTCACAGGTAGCTCTGCACTCCTGGAATGCGACACCTAGTTGTCCTGTTAGCTCATCAAATTTCTTAAGGAGTTTGGGATTTGTACTGCCTGACATGCTGGACTCACTAGACGATTCACTAGACTCTCCTAATAGATAGGGTAGACTTGTACGAGTGGGCATGCACTAACAACTAAATGAGATGAATGGTAGTTTTTTAATAACAAATAAAAGACTCAATTAAAATAATTTAGAAATAAATGAAAATTTCCTAACCTAGAATCATTCTATGATACCAAAAATGATGTGAAACAATGTGCATGCAGGTAAGAAGAACAGCGACAAGAATGCTTTACCAAATCAGCGAACGAGCTAGGCAGGAGTCTCAAGAAAATAGTGGAGCTCTAGATGGTTTTAAACAAAAATTACAATGTACTAAGTTTATGTCCTTGTAAATTACTCAGAAAAGAAATGTAAAAATTTGTTCTTGTAATAAAGTTCGACTTGTAATATTTAAATCAGCAGATATACGAGGCAAACAGAGTCACTTGTTTACTAGTCAAGCAGAATGCAGCACAATAACAGTTGATAATAAAATTGATAATAACATGCACACGATGGCAGTTTCTAGAGTACTGGGTCGAGAGAGAACGAAATCTTCGTCGGTCTGAACAGGCTTGACGTGAGGGACCTCTGGAGGCGGTGCGACGACGTCGAATATGAGGGGAGGGAGATCTCATCCGAGAGCGATGTAGCTGGGGTGAAGTGGTGCATCTGGGTGGAAGCGTCGGTGCTACGAACTGATTCCTAGACGGCTCTCCACACTATTAGCGATTTGAGGAGTCACATAATCAATGTACTCTGCTGGTGTGTCGAAGGACTGATAGTCGAACCACTGAGAGAGTTGTAGGTCTACTATGCCGGTCTCTGGGTCGTACACGAATTGGGCGTCTTCAGGTACAGGATCAGCCATGCACTAATGGGTTGCGGAATCAGAGTTCGAATCGGATTTGAATCAGATTCGAATTGGACTCCGAACAGGTCTGAACAGACTTTGAATCAAGTATGAGGCATTAACAGGTCTGTTGCCAATGCGGGTTGGATCTGAATTGAAAATTAGATCCAGCTGAACCAAGGTTGGGTCTGATCAAAATAGATCAAAACCATAATTACTTTCGCGTTGTTTCGATCTGAGGGAAAGAGAGGGCGACGATTGCTCAAGGATGAAGAACGACGACGGCCCTTTCGTGGCTGAGGATGGTGGCGGCTGTTCGGATGCAGGCGACTGTAGGAGCTGGCGACTGGAAGACGCGCGCTCGACTAGAGTCGAAGCCGGGCAATAGCATCGAATTAGGCGAAGCAGGCGACAGGACGACGAGAGGACCGCGGCGTGGCGGGATGAGGCGAACAGGCCCGGCGGCTTGTCAGGCGAGTCGAAGCTTGGATTGGTGCTGATTGGAGTGGATAGTGGAGGCAAGGGCAGGGAGCGCAAGCTCCCGGAGGGGGTCGACGGATGAGGAGCAGGGAGTGGCGGCTAGGTTTTCACACCACTAGGCCACGAGTGTTTTCAACGACGTAGGTAACCAATTTTTTTTTAATTCAAATATTCATTGATCTCTTTTCTGATTATAGCAGTGCTTTAAGAGAAGAAAATAATACAGATTTGGAAATCCCTAAAATCACTCAAATACTTACAAAAAACTGAATTAACTACTAAATTTAAATCATAATTTAAATTTCAAATCTAAACTGCTAAAATTGAATTAACTACTAAATTTGAACCGTAATTCAAATTTCAAATCAAAACCAGATAGATATGCTGTCCACCAAAGGGTGTTTCCTACGCCAGTAGGTACGTCCGAATCTGCCCGTGATGTCCTCATCATTTAGATATATAGTTGGGGTGTGCAAATTGAAAATCAAGATGACTGGTCATGATATACAATAATATGTTTTTCGGATCTCGAGTTCCTTGGTGATGCATAAAAGATAGTAAACCATACTATCCTAACATATTGAGCTATAAAAGCTTAGGATGCCTAATTAGAAAGAACTGAATAGTTTTGCATCTTTACATCCAAAATGCCCCCACATAATATATCTTTTTTTTCTTGGGATAACAAAGTAGACTGATAGGCAGATGATGACAACATTTTTTAGGTCAATGGTTTGAGATATGTCAATTTAAAAATGAAATTGTTTTTCTTATGGTAAACACCTAAAAACCTTGCAAATTGTTGTTATGGGTTTCTACTGTATTAGGCCATAGTCTAAAACGTTTGCTACTTCGTCTGTAATTTTTGCCCAAACTTTAACTAATAATTAATTTAGGATATCTTTTCAGCTACTTTTCATTTAAGTGCCCTTTGAATTTTCCTTTAACATAAAGATTTTAAAGTTAATTTTTCTACAAATAAGCATTCCAAGGTTTCCCCCCCTTCATAGCATGTTATCGTGGTAAAAATATAATGCTGAAGTTATCTTAAATGAATAAGAGAAAACCACGCATTAAAAGAGGGTTTATGTCTTCTTTTTGGGGGTTGTCGGGGGTGTGAGCAATGCGTACGTGATGGAGCTTCTATTAGGGTAGAGGGTAGAGGAAGTAGGTTCAATTTGTTTTGCGAATATGGTTTGAAAAAATAGAATTGATGACGATGGAAGAAAGAAGATTTTATGAACCTTAAGTTGCAGGGAAGAAGTATTCAGAAAGCAAGTTGTATGGTTAAAAATTTCAAATGTATACATTTAGTAGAAAATTTTTGTACAAGGTGTTAATCTGGAGAATAGCTGATGTATAATCTAGCGAAGAAAGTAATTTAGAAATTTATAGATTTTTTGTCATCAATTGTGAATTGTGTACTGTTACTTCCTATGTCTGCTCAGGCATCATATTATTATGTGTTCTCTATATTTTCAAGATGATTCTCTTCCATAGGTGATTTTCTGCAAGTTTTGGGTTCTATTGCTTTGCCAGCTATCCTTTCTTGCTTTGCCAGCTATCCTTTCCCTTGTTTGGTGCTTTTCCAAGATGTTTTAAAATTTCTTTTCCTGTATCAGCTACACTAAATCTTTGTCTGGAAAAAGTTTCCATGCTCTGATTTTTCATTATGTTTTTACCATTTTGTGTGCTCATTTTTTCCCTTCAGCGAGCTAAATCATCGTTATCTGCTTCTCTTTTTTGTTTTTGACGAGTATTCTTTTCTCTTGTCTTGCTTGAAGGCAATCTGGCAATGAAAGTGATGATGAAGCTTATCAGGACACAAGCAGTGAAGCCAGTAGTAACAGTGACAGCCATGTTGATCAAGCAGCCAGACCTATATTCGAGTACCTGGCACGTGATTTACCATATGGCCGAGAGCCTCTATCTGATAAGGCAAGCTCACCACTAATTCGATGCCATACCAACTCTTATCTGTCTCCATATCTGACAAAATCTTGATCTATTTCTCGCTTGCAGATATCAGCTCTGGCTAGTAAATTTCCAGGGCTAAGAACATACAAGAGCTGTGATCTTCTCCCCTCCAGCTGGATGTGTGTTGCTTGGTACGCCTTCATTTCCTTCAGGATAAATTTCACAAAACCCTCCAAGCTTTGGAGTGTTTTTGCTCCAAACTTTTATCAGCTTTATGAATTAGAGAAAACCTCTGAAATTGCAACATACAAAACCCCTCTAAACTATTGGAAATTGTCACGAGACTTTCGTTATTATTCTTTACGTGCCCTAACCCGAAAAAACTTGCTCTCAGATTTATTTATTTATTTATTATTATTATTTTTGTGATTAAACTGCTCTTGGTAGAATTAAAGAATACATGGGGGGAAAATGTACAATCCCTTTTGGATCTGACAACCATTGAATGAAATTAGATGGGTTTTCTCGGGTTCATAAGAAGTGTCTTAAGCAAAACATTTCTAAGGGGTTTTCATGGAATTTTCCCATTGATCCATACATGACATTTGGTCTTGAACCTAATGCAGGTATCCTATATACCGGATACCAACAGGACACACATTGAAGGATTTGGATGCTTGCTTTCTAACCTTTCACTTGTTATCTACCCCTTCCAACAGTAAGCTTCTTATTGATTATAGTTTGATTAGATTTAACCAGAAGATTTGTGACTTGAATTGTTTGATTTTGATGGTTGTGCTGTCTCTCTGGCAGACTTGAGCAACGGGCATTCTTTGTGCAACAGTGTCCCTAGCAGTGTTAGGTCCCAAATGCCACAGAAGCTACCTGTTCCTGTATTTGGACTAGCATCATATAAGCTTCAGGGCTCAATTTGGACGTGCAACGGGCATCACGAGCAAGAGCAAGCAAACTCTCTCTTGCAGGCTGCCGCCGATTGGCTTCAGCTTCTAAATGTCGATCACCCTGACTTCCAGTTCTTCTTGTCTCGGTATAATACATCTTGGAGGTAACACGAGACGAAGTATGTGTATTTTGAATGAGTAATTTTGAGCTATCCCCTTCATGTAATGTACATTTCTGAGGATAATTTAAGATGTAGATAACTCCCCCCACACAATGTGGTCTTTTTGAAAGGAAAGGTACGGAGTAGAGAGTAGCTATGATGGTCTTTGATAGAAAAATGATCTTTATTTCCATGACAAAAACTCGGTAGGATTCTTAGATTAAGAGGGTGAGGGTTTGTATGCCCACAATTGATACGGTTCTTGGGTTTCATGTGCACAGCTATTACACTGCAGAACCAAGTATAATCAGCCTCCACTTGTCTGATTTCTTGAAGGAAGAGAACAGATAAAGGTGTCATCTATCCTCATCCTGTTATAATGTGAGGGGTTTTATGTGGGTGGTTGTGAGATTCATGGAGATCAATCAGAATTTTTAATTTCAGAACTGTATTTAAGTTTAGACTGAAATGAATGTTGCTTTAATGAATCGAGTGAAAAACTAAAATGAATGTATGAGTTGTTTTATGCGCAGGAAACCTGTCACTATGGTTTTTACAGTTTGTTAAGAGTCTGTTGTGGTTTCACTCTATTTGTTTGTACAATTGTGTTGTTTTGCAACGAACAACTATTATCTGAAAATTGATTATTATTTCACTAACAATTTCTTCCGGAATCAAAAAAAATCTAGTTTTCCTCTTTGCTTATTACTTTTGTTAAGAATAATATATGTACTGATATTGTAGTTGAGCAGTCGTTATAGTGCGGATAAGCTCCTGGGATCAAATTCTGCTTAATGTGTGCCTTGATAACCCCCTGGAGATCGAGAGAAAAGACAAACAAAGAGTTAAAACTCATTCAAACACCAGTGCACACTTTGTAGCTCGAAAACAAGGAAACTCATTCAAACACCCTCGACTCTTGACAACCTAAACACCCTAACTCAAACCAAAGCCTTGATGCTCTGGTCTTATTCAGCTGACGACTAAGGGACTCCCCCAAACCACTGGTGGATCGTCGGCGGCTGCTCATTCTGCCGCAGCTGTGGCGGCTCCACGCCGCGTCGGCGCGCCCACTTCCCGGGATACGGAAGGTGGCACAGCTGCGCGTGCCCGGTACGAGAAAATCCGGCCGTCTGTGCCAGGCGCAGTATCGTTCCACCGAGCCAGCCGTTGCACCGTCCTCACTCGCTTCAAGTGCATCGTGGACCCTGCAGAACCCTGAGCGACCCGATGCGACCGTCTCGACAGCGCCTCTGACGCATTTCCGCGTCTCCCCGGGCCGCCGCGCATGGCCCGAGCACCTGCGGCAGTCGCCATCGGCCTTCCTGCACGCCCTCGCGCATCCGTACGTCCTCTGACAGTCCCTCTCCGCGGCGGCGGAGCCTCCTGCTTTAACTCGCTCCAAATCGGTCGCCGATTTTGCTCTCGGGAGAGAGCAAGACTCGAGCAGCTATGCGGGGAGCAGAGCCATCGACGGTTTCCAGCCGGTGATCCAGAGGAAGGTGCGCTCGTAGGGGTTGTACGCAGGAGGGAGAGAATATCAGGCAATACATCTCTTGCGGCGAGGTCGAGCTTTTTCATGGTAATATTCATGGTAGTGGGCGAGACGCACGGGTCGATCAGGGTTTTGAGGAGGAGACGGCTGGTCGCGGGGTACGCGGCGCAGCGTAGCTTTGAGGAGTTCGGCTGGCTAGCCGGCGACGTAGCTTTGAGGAGTTCGCGCTTGGCGGGAGAGCCAGCCTCGGAAGAAAGACTCCATCCTGAGTAGTTTGTGTTCAGCCCGAGTGTGCTGTCGGTTATAGCAGGGGTTTGCTTAGGGTTGAAGTTTTGGGTATTTGAAATTTCGCCGGAGATGGAGAGGGCGGTGGAGGAGGAGGAAGAACCAGAGGAGGACACGTGTCTGCACACTGGAAATCAGGCGGTGGAAACTTGTTGCTGGGAGATTGGCTCGTCATGCAGAATTTTGGGCGGCAATGAGAAGAGTATTATAAATTATACATATAAAGAGATTAATGAGTATCTTTGTCATTGGAGGAGATTTTCTTCTTGATGCTTATGCGGCACAATTCCCACTATCCTCATAAAGTAAAAGAGTAGAAGAGTGTGTGTGAGTTGGTGAGCATTTGTGTCTATTTTATGAGAATGGTGAGAATTGTGTCACATAGATAACAAGGAGGAAAATCTTCTTATATGATAAGGATACTCATTAATCTAATATATAAATATATCTTTTGGATCTTTGAGATAAGTGGTCCTTTACATCATTAATAATTGCATATTAATCTCTCACATCTTAGAAATTGCATATTGGTCCCTTGTACCCTATAGAGTCTTGCAAAATGCTCCCTTTGTTAGTATTCCAGTTTAAGTGAAAAGAAACTTAATCATTGTCGGGTTAACTCTTAACGCAATTCCTGTAATCACCAAACAACTTCTCTCGGATCGATGTTTCAAGTCTTTATGAAGCTTAACTTTAGGTTAAGATTCTTTTCAAACCACCAGAGAGAAGAAGACCTCAAGTGCATTCAGGTGTTTTTAAGTGGATGTTGGGTCTAAACCCGTTAATGAATGAATCGGGGAACGTATATCATAGAGGGCTAATATGCAACTATTAAAGATACGAGGGGCTAGTAGCTAAAAAGCCCGTTTAACTTGGTATGGAGATTTTTCGGTGCTCCTGCATGTTGAAAACATGCGATAACGTTTTTTTATTGGTACGAGGATGCTTAATTGCGGCTTTCATGGGCACGTGTCGGACAGAGCAAAGGACTGATCGTGTGGGGGTTGTCACCAAAAGGAACCGGGCAGGATGAAGGGGAGCAATAGTTTCAGGCGGCAAGTAAAGCATTAAACAGCGCAGGAATCGAGGTTTTTGAGGAACTGCACGTGGGGCTTTGAGGGTGCCATCGCCAGTGCAATTAAGACATGATTAGGTATGAAGGGAGGTGAGCGGGGGTGCAAACGGTTCGGGTAAGATGATTACTATGCTCATGTTAGCTTACAACCGCGGATACGAATATAGAAATGCCTAGATAAAGGAAGGTTTATCTTCATATGTGCTAAAATCGAATATGAGTATGAATATGCATGCTGATTTAAATAGGATGTAAGAGGAACCGGATGTAGATTTGGTGGAGAACAGGAATTTTGGACCCAGGGAGTTGGTTTTGGGGTTGTTCGGTAGACCGCGACGCAAGACCGGTCGACCGAATACGTGTACAGACCCTGGGTATGATTCACCACGGTCGACCGCCAAACCCTGCAATCAAACCCGATAGTCTGGAGTTGGGTGCGGTCGACTGCCGCGGTCGACTGTCGAACTCTGTAACTGTTTTCTGGGTTCTGCCGTTAGTCGCGGTCGACCGCGATCTTTGGGCGGTCGACCGCCAATCAGGTCAGACCCAGTTTTGAGTTTTCCTATTTTGATTTGGTTTCGTGTTGATATATAATCCTAAACACGTTTTAGGGTTTTGGTGAGTGGAAAAGGGGATATTTGGAGCACAGAAAAGATGTATTTTCTGGAGCTATTGGTTAGGATTTTGTTTAAGAGATTAAAAGCTTTGTTGGTGAGATTAATTGGTGAGTTTGAGTGATTTGTAATCTCAGTTTGTACTCTTCTTCTCTATTAGTAAAAACCTCATCCCCTTCTTACCCCGTGGACATAGGCAACTTGCCGAACCACGTAAAATTCGTTGTTTGTGTTTTTACCGTTATTTTGGTTTGTTTAGTCTTCTCTCTCGGCGTTTGTTTTGGTTCCTCGAAGCACAAGCTTCCGCGCACAACACCGGATAATAGTGAAAAAAATATACTTTATATGATAGAAGTGAGTTCATTAATATGTTAGATCTATTATCTAAGGCGAGGACTATTGTTCATAAAAAATTAATCTCAAATATATTAATTTAAGGATTAAAATTTCTAAATCTAACACTCACCTTATTGCTCTCATTCTAATTTGCACTCAAAAAAAAAAAAAATCATATACACCCGCTAGATAATCAATAGTTGTGATTATGTAGTGTTTCCTCGACTATTTTTTTGTGGCAGTGGAGTGGATCCAAATCCTTAAAGTCGTTTGAACTATATGGCCAACATATATTTAGGTATTTCATATATGGATCATAATATTTCACTATATATTCCATATATATAGCCACAACATATCAGATATTATTTTTAGTAACCAAATCTATTCCACTTCACATCCATATACGGACACAAATGTAGATATTTTCTTAGATACATATTTTTTTTGCATCTCTAGAGGTAAGACAAAAAAACTAAACTTTATATTTGATAGAAAGTTTTTAAAAAATGAGGTGAGGTGAGGTGAGATGAGAGACAATGAAAAATTAATTAAAGATTAAAAAGAGAAGAGACCGCCAAATTGGAGGAGATGACATAAGAGGAGAGAAAAGTAAACTACAAAATCATCCACCTCCCTTTTTCTCCCTCCTGCTAAACATAAAAGTGACATCAATCTCTCCACATCTTTGCACCTTATCTTGCCTTCACTTTCCTCCTAAAACTTCCTACTAAACGGAACATAGGATCCTTTGTAGTCAATGTTATTAAAAGCGCTAGTTGGACTAGACGTTCGAGGCTGAGGCCTAGCGCCTAGACGCCTAGATGGACGCCTAGGCGGTGTCTAGTTGTTTGCCTATTTTTCAAATTAAATAATTATAATAAGTTAAAACAGTGAATAAATTAAAACAAAAATGTAAAATTGACAGCTTCATCGAGAGACAGTGGCGACGGTGGCGAGGGGCTCGTCAAGAGGAGGGAGTGGTCGGCTTCGTCGAGAGAGAGTGGTGGCGGGCGGCGAGGATCGCGCAGAGTTCGTTGACAGAGGGGGTGGGCAGTTTGGGAATCGACGGTCTTGGTGAGGGAGTGGTCGGTGGTGTCTTGAGCGGGCTGGCGGCTGCGAGCAAACGACATTTAATTAATCCTCACATAAGGCACCCGCAAGGGCGGTTTTATGCACATATAAGCTCACCTGCCCCGCCAGAATTTACTAATCTCACATAACTTTTTCGAATTTTCGAATTTTTTTATCTCGCGTAACTCTCCTAGATTTTGTGGTGTCTCACAAAATCATTTGAATTTTAACAATTTCAATAGACCCTTCACCTATAGTTTGCAATTAAGAAGAAGAAAAAAAACCCTCAGAATTTGTCATTTGTTATCTACATGCAATTGCACATTCTCTAAAATATTGTTTTTTCTATCAAGAAAATTTTATTAATTCACAAATTATTCATGAAGAGTCCTGTGAGCTTGCAATTAAGAAGAAGAAAAAAAAACCTCAAAATTTGTCATTTGTTATCTACATGCAATTTCATGAAAAACTCTCCAAAGTTCGGGAGTATCTACAACGCCCTCAAAGTTCACGGGGTTTTCTCGAATAAATAATGTTTAGGTGTTATATCTGCAATACCCTCTAGGTTTAGGAGGGGTTTTCTGAAAATAACTCTACAAAAGTTTGAAAATGAGGTGTATTAAAGTGAAGCTATGGAAAAAACAGTTTAACTTATGTTTGGTTCTCATTTTTTTTTTGTTGAATCCCTGCTATAGTGTCAGTAACATGTCAGAAATCACCCCAAAACGGTTTTTTTTTGGCGCTTTTGGGGTGAAACCTGCCACAGATAGGACACTGTGGCAGGCTTTCCCCTGTTTTCACACTAAAAAAATAGAAACCAAACAGCCCCTTACACCTCAGTTTATATTTCTCCCACCGAACCTGTCTGTAGCAAAAGCAGTATTTTGGTTACTGGGGGACCAAACTGCAGCACTCCTCCGGATTTGGTGTCATTTAGCAATTTCAAATAATTGAGGGGCCAGTATGAAATTACTAAATACTTGAAGGGTCTAATATGAAATGGTTGAAAATGTGAGCAGGAGCATATTATCTCCCCAATTCAGCCGCAGCCTCTCGAAACACGAAAACAAAGAAGCCATCAGATGGAGAAAAGACTCTCAAAGATTTCTCAAACCCTAATCCCATCCCCAATCCAAGAACTCTCCCATCTCGCCCAGCGATGCGGCGCCATCAACCTGGCCGAGGGCTTCCCCGACTTCGCCGCCCCGGCCTACATCAAGAACGCCGCCGTCTCCGCCATCAACTCCGATCTCAATCAGTACCGGTACTAAAAGATTGCCCAAGTTCTTTCCTTTTCTTTGAATAATCGCTAATTAGCAAATAAGCACCTCGAAGTTTCCATACTTTGCATGTGTGCACTCTGAATAGTTATCTGCGGTATGGGACTTCTGTTGATTAAATGCTAGAAGAGAGGATTTTAGGAGGAGGAAGAGGGAGAAGGAGGGGATTTGATTGTGGGTTCGGAGAGTAAATTTCACAGGACTCCCTGATTTTTGGGGTGACTTGCACAAAAACCCTCTGAACTTTGATGAAATTAGAGAAAACCCACTGAAGTTTAGGCAGTTTCGCAAAACCCATGTACTTTTGAAACGTTCTAATTGAACTTTCGGGTAATTTCCTTTCTGAAGTTTGTCGAGGACGAGTGGACAAAGGAAAACAGGAAAATATTAGGAGCTTTATTTTACGGTTTTTCCAAGAGAGGGGGGGTTTATTTTTATTTTTTAAAGAAAGGTATTTAAGTAGATGGAACTTTTTGAAAGTTAAGGCAGGTTTTGTGAAACTCATCATTTAGGGAGTTTCTATAATTTTTAAACTTCGGATTTCTGAAGTTTTATCCGTAGATGAATGAGGATTGAAGAGGAAGAAGCTAGGGAAGAAGAGTATTTTGACCGCTTGGCCATAAAACCTGACACCCTTAACTAAACTCAAGGGTAAAAATGTGGGTATGAAAGTGCTACAAAACAACTCAGGATATACATGACAATTTCAGAAAATTTTATGTAGATTTTGTGCTTATTTGACTCTAATAATATTCAGGTTTAGATCCAATGTGAATTAATTAAGCAAAGTTCAAATTTCACAATTCATGAGCTATAAGCAATTGTTTGTTTGTTTGTTTTTCATTTGTTTTGACCCAATGACATATAGTTACATGGAGTTCAAATTCATGATTTCATGAGCTATAAGCCACGATTTGTTTTCCATTTTCATTCATTTCGACATAATGACAAGTAATGTTGTAGAGTTCAATATTCATGATTTCATAAGCCATAACCAATGATTTTTTCCTTTTCGTTTGTTTCAACCCAATATGAATTAATTAAGCAAAGTTCAAATTTAATGGTTCGTGAGCTTAAGCTATAACCTATAATTTTTGTCCATTTTTTTTCTTTTTGACCCAATAATAATAATTGAGGATCAAAAGTTACAATTTCATGAGTTATAACCTAGGTTATCCAGGTACTTCTATTAAGAAGCCATACCCGTTCCCGACATGTTCTCGTAACCAAACTTCATGGACACTGTTTCAATATTTGTATGCATTTATTATGACATGTACTTAATTATATCATATATGTTTTAATTTAAAACACTTGCCAACCCTTCTTGGACATATAGCTTACACTTCAAATCCATTCTTGAAAGTAGTTAAATATGGGTCCGGGTTCGTTTCAATCCATACTCAAGTTAAAAATTATAAATTTAAAGGGTTGTTTATGTGTCCAATTAAAAAATGAGTAGTTTTCAATTTACAATGATCAATATAACAAAATAAAAGAAACTTAAATATGTGATCAGAAGTTTAATTCTAATGACACATGAAGTAAAAAAATAATGATCTCGTGTACATTATTAATTCAAATATATATATATATATATATATATATATAGTCCCCGTATCATATATCTTACAATTTTGCCTTGTCGCTTACCTGTACCCGCACTCTTACTGTCCCCGTATCATATATCTTACAATTTTGCCTTGTCGCTTACCTGTACCCGCACTCTTACTAGTACTTATACTTGTTTCCATGCAATTTTGGCTATAACCTATGATTTTTGTCCATTTCCTATCATTTTCAACCGAATGACAATTAATTAAGAAGTTCAATTTACACGATTTCATGAGTAATAAGCTAAGATTTTTTTATTTTTGTTTGTTTAGAAGTTATATAACAAATAATTTTGCGGAATTCAAAATTCAAGATTTCATGAGTTATAACTCGTAAATTTTATTCATTTTCTTTCGTTTCTACTCAATGACAAATAATTTTATGGAGTTCAAAATTCACGATTATGATGAGCTATAACCTGCGATTTTTGTTCATTTTGTTTGATTTGACCAAATGACAGTAATTAAGCGGAGCTTGAAATTCATGATCTTCACGAGCAATAACATATGATTTTTATTCATTTACGCACTTTTCTACCTAATGACAATTATATAGACGAAGTACAAATTTTACGATTTCATGAGGTAGAAGTCACAATCTGTGTCCATTTTTTGTTTTGACCCAATGGCTAATAATTTTGCAAAATTCAAAATTTACTATTTCATGCATTATAATCGATAATCTTTTTTATTTTCGTTTGTTTCGAACCAATGACATGGTTAAGCATAGCTCAAAATTCATGATTTTTAAATTTTTTTATCGATTTTTTTTGTTTCACACAATACTAAATAATTTCGTTGAGTTCAAAATTTCGATAATATGAGCTATAACCCATGATTTTTGTTCATTTTGACTAATGATAAATAATTATGTAGAGTTTAAAATTTACGATTCATGAGTTATAACCCTTGGTTTTTTCTATTTTTGTTCATTTTAATGCAAGGGCAAATAATTTTGCGGAGATCAAAATTCACGATTTCATGAGAACCTATGATTTTGCCCATGTTCGTTCATTTCGACTCAATGACAAATAATTAAGCGGAGTTTGAAATTCGTGATTTCATAAGCTGTAAACATACGATTTTTGACCATTTTTGTTTGTTTCGATTAAGATGGAAAATTTTATGCGGAATTCAATATTCATGATTTCATGAGTTGTAGCCCATAATTTTTGTTCATTTTTATTCATTTGAATCCGATGACAAATAATTATGTGGAGTTTTAAAATTAATGATTTTATGAGCTATAACCTTTAATTATTGTTCGCTTGGACTGAATGGCTAATCATTTAGCGGAGTTTAAAATTTACGATTTCATAAGCTATAACAACCACCACTAAGCCTTTATCCCACATGTTTAGGGTCGGTTACATGAATCATATTTTTTTATTCCATTCTGTTATAGGTCATCTCCTTTGTTAAGTTAGTCTTAATCATATCCTTTTTAATTACTTCTAACCAAGTCATTTTAGGTCTAACTCTATATCTCTTAGCCCCATTAACTCTAATATTATTATTTTTTCTAATCGGTGCACTAAGGGGTCTCCATTATACATGATCAAACCATCTTAATCTATTCTCTCTCATTTTATCCTTAATAGACAACCTCTAATTTACTACGGATGTACTCATTTCTTATCTTATCTTTTAATATATACTCACAAGGTCATCACAACATTCTCATTTCTGCTACACTCATTTTTTGAACATGTTTCTTAATTGCCTAACACTCTGATCCATAAAGCATAGTTGGTCTTATAACAATTCTATAAAAAAAATTCCTTTAGTTTCATTGGTATTCTACGATCATATAAGACTCTCGAAGCACTTCTCTATTTTAACCATCCCGATATGATTCGATGCATAACATCATCCTCTATCTCACTATCATGCCTAATGATTGATCTTAAATAGCAAAAATGATTAATTTTAGGTATCTCTTGGCCATCAATATGTACCATATGCTCTCTTCATTTTCTAGTTTTACTAAAAATACACTCCATATATTTTGTTTTTGTTCAACTAATTCTAAAACCTTTATATTCAAGAACTCGTCTCTATCTTTCTACTTTAGAAATAATGTCTCTTCAAGTTTCATCAACTAATACTATATCATCAGTAAATAACATACACCATGGGATTTCATCCTGAATATGCTTAGTAAGCTGATTCATAACTAATGCAAAAAAGATAAGAACTTAAAGCTGACTCTTGGTGTAAACTTTTGATAATAGAAAATGGTTGTCTATCATTCATTAATTCTTACTTTAGTTGTTGCTCTATTATACTTATCTTTAATCACATCAATATATACACTAGATACATATTTCTTTTTAATACCCATCACATTACCTCTCTAGGTATTCTATCATAAACTTTTTCAAGATAGATAAAAATCATATGTAGATCCTTTCTCTTCTCTCTATATCTCTCTATCAAACGTCTCAAGATATGTATAGGTTCCATAGTTGCCTACCAAGACATAAAACCAAATTAATTTTCAGATATAATTATCTCTTTTCTTAATCTTTGCTCAATTACACTCTCCCAAAGTTTCATAGTATGACTCATGAGTTTTATACCTCGATAATTTGAACAATTTTGTATAACCCTTTATTCTTATATATCGGTATCAAAGTACTAATCCTCCACTCGTCTGACATTCTTTTTGTCTCGATAATCTTATTAAATAGTTTAGTTAACCGTCCTAAGCATATATCTCCAATCTATGAAGCACCGACATGCGGAAACAAGCCCCGAGTCCGTGTCCGACGCGTGTCGGACGCGGACACGCGTTCGACACGCGTCGGACACGCGGTCAACGCCGCCGACACGGTATATTATAGCTCATGAAATTGTTAATTTTGAACTTCACCAGATTATTAGCCATTGGGTCAAAACGAACAAAAATAGACAAAAGTCTAGACTTATAACTCAAAAAATTGTGAACTTAAACTTTATTTAATTAATTGTCATTCGGTCAAAATGAACGAAAATGGGAAAAAATCATTATAGGCCATGAAATCTTGAATTTTTAACTTCGCAAAATTATTTGACATTGCATCCAAAGGAAAGAAAATGGACAAAAGTTATAAGTTATAGCTCATAAAATCGTGAATTTTGAACTCCAGTTAATTATATATCATTGGGTTGAAACAAACAAAAATAAAAAAAAATTATTGGTTATAGCTCATAAAAAAGTGGAAGAGCCATAAGACCAGACGATATCCCTGTTAAAGTTTTGAAATGTATTGGAGACTATGAAGCACAGACACGGACACGGCGACACGGACACGGACTCGGATACGGCAAAACCCAAAAAAATAGGATACGGCGACACGGCTCGATTTTTTAAATAATAATAATAATAATAATAATATATATATATATATATATATATATATATATTATTATTATTATTATTATTATTTAAAAAATCGAGCCGTGTCGCCGTATCCTATTTTTTTGGGTTTTGCCGTATCCGAGTCCGTGTCCGTGTCGCCGTGTCCGTGTCTGTGCTTCATAGTCTCCAATACATTTCAAAACTTTAACAGGGATATCGTCTGGTCTTATGGCTCTTCCACTTTTTTATGAGCTATAACCAATAATTTTTTTTTATTTTTGTTTGTTTCAACCCAATGATATATAATTAACTGGAGTTCAAAATTCACGATTTTATGAGCTATAACTTATAACTTTTGTCCATTTTCTTTCCTTTGGATGCAATGTCAAATAATTTTGCGAAGTTAAAAATTCAAGATTTCATGACTTATGATGATTTTTTCCCATTTTCGTTCATTTTGACCGAATGACAATTAATTAAATAAAATTTAAGTTTCACGATTTTATGAGTTATAAGTCTAGATTTTTGTCTATTTTCGTTCGTTTTCACCCAATGGCTAATAATCGGGCGAAGTTCAAAATTAACAATTTCATGAGCTATAACATACAATTTTTGTTCATTTTTATTTATTTCAACCCAATGACACATAATTAAGTGCGGTTCAAAATTCACAATTTTTATGAGCTATAACCCACAATTTTTGCCCATTTTCATTCGTTCCGACGTTGTGATAAATAATTTTGCAAGTTCAAAATTCATGATTTCATGCGATATAACCATAATTTTTATTCGTTTTAATTCATTTCGATCCAATGTCAATTTCAGTTTTCACGATTATGAGCTATATTTTCACGATTTTGTCCATTTTTTTTCGTTTTGATCCCATGACTAATAATGTTGAGTTATAACCTAGTGACAAATAATTATGTGTAGTTCATATTTGAGGACTTCATGGGCTACAAAGCTAAGATTGCTGTCAACTTTCATTTGTTTTGACCCATTGGCTAATAATTTTGCTGAATACAAAATTTATGATTTTTTGAGCTATAAGCCAAGAGTTTTGTACATTTTCGTTTGTTTCAATCTAATGAAAATTATTTATGCGGAATTCAAAATTTATAATTTTTATGATCTATAACATATGATTTTTGATCATTTTCGTTCATTTTGAAGCAATGGCAATAATTTTGTGTAGTTCAAAATTCATGATTTCATGAGTTATAACCTTATGATTTTCGTAAATTTTCATTTGTTTCGATCCAATTGTCATTATTTAATCAAAGTTTTAAATTTCATGATTTTATGAGCTATAGGTCACAAGTTTATGAGCTATAGTATATAGTAGTCTCTTGACCTAAGACATGAGTGTAATATCTTACATGTCAGTATAGGTGTACTTAGATTTTTACCTAACCATAGTTCTCATTGAGTTGTATATAACGGTTCTTGTTGGGTGCATCCCGAGACATAAGTAGATATTGAGATGCCAAGATGAGATTCGTCTCTCCCAGTATAAGGGGTTGATGTCATAAGATTGTTTGATATAACTGTAGTCAGAAAATCATTGGTCGAGATAAATAAGATAAACTAAGTGTCAGTTTGATCTTATAGGTTATGAATTTAATATCAACAAACACTAATCGAGCTATTAGGATTTGACAGTTTTCCATACTCTAGGCTCGATAGTTTGACATGGTTTGACGAAGAGACCGGACTGTATAATATTATCACTGAGTGGTCCTGATAAAATTGTGTTAGCATATTGCAAACGTTTATCATAACTTATACCCGGGTAGTCTTCATATGTAGCTAGCACCTCTGTTGTACTTGTGGATATCATCCACTGTCGAGTTCTTAAGTTAAGCCCTAGAGTCACACCAAGCGTGTACTTAAATCCTATGAAACACTATTTATAGAGTGATGCGTATGATTAATATACTTAAATCCTATGAAACACTATTTATAGAGTGATGCGTATGATTAATACGCATATATGATTTTACCGGATACACATAAACGAAACACTATTTATAGAGTGATGCGTATGATTAATACGCATATATGATTTTACCGGATACACATAAACGATTATGTATATTAGTAAAATCGGAATGCTATGTGCTTAGGAAATAAATTTTAATATTTTTTTTCATAAAGTTAACTTTTAGTCAACTAGTTGACTTTTTTTGTCAACAGTTGACTTTTGGTCAACTCATTGACTTTTTTGGTCATATGATGATTTATTGGTCAATGATTGTAAAGTTACAAGATATCGTATTTATGAAATACCGTATTGATGTGATATTTTTATTTATGAAATACGTATTTCATTATACCTTGATTAATGAGTCATGAGATGAGTCATTAAGGTGGTATGGTTTAGGAATATGGTTTTAGCACATAGTTTTGATTTTTCATGATTCATTGCATGACTCATGAGAGAATCATTGTTTTGATGACTCATGGCGTGACTCATGGAATGAGTCATTCATGTCATGACATATTCTTCCTCTATAAATATGAGCTCTCTTTCTTCTTTCATGGTTAATGGAAAAATAAAATAAATGGTTTATTTATAGTTGCTTCCCATAAAAGAAAAAAAGAGAGATCTACCTCTTACTAATATCTAGCAATCGTAAGAGGAAGTAGTAGGATTTTAAAGTACCCCGGGGTGGATATCTTGTCTTGTGTCTTAAGAAGACTCCGATTTTATCAAGCTCACTTGAAGACTTGGAGATCCACTACGAAGAACTTTACTACTACAAGGAGCAAGAGCTAGGGGTGGTTCGATCTTCCATCGAATCACCCTTCGAAAGTACGACTTTCTAACTCTTGTATGTTCTCTTTAATATATGGATCATGTTAGATTCAATTAGGATGATCCTATTTTGTTTTTCATGCTCTCTACATGCTTAGTATTATTATATATACAGTTTTCCGTTGCGTATTTTGCATGTATTTAGCACGAATTTCCTTCATTTTGTTCATTTCATTCATTCAAAGCTAAGGATAAATAATTTTGTGCAATTTAAAATTCATGACTTCATGAGCTATAACACATGAATTTTGTCTACTTTGTTTTGACTCATTGTCAAATAATTTTGCGGAGTTCAAAATTCAAAATTTCATAAATTATAACCTCCAATTTTTGTTCATTTTCCCCTTTGTTTCCATCCAATGGGAAATAATTTTGTGAAAATAAAATTTAGGATTTTATGAGCTATGCTTTATGATTTTTTTTCATTTTCGTTCGTTTCGACCCAATAGTAAATAATTATGTAGAGTTCAAAATTCACAATTTTATGAGCTATAATCAATGGTTTTTGTCCATTGTTCATTTGGTTCGAATAACTAATCATTTTGCATAGTTTAGAATTTACAATTCTATGAGCTATAATCTACAATTTTTATTTATTTATTTATTTGTTTTGACCAAATGGCCAATAATTAATTGGAGTTTTGAATTCATTATTTTTTGAGCTATAATTTACGATTTGTTGATATTCTTTCATTTGGACGCAATTACATAATTTTACGTAGTAGAAAATTCAAGATTTCATGACCTATAACTCATGAGTTTTCCATTTTCATTCATTTTGACTCAATGACAATTAATTAAGCGAAGTTCAAACTTCACGATTTCATGACCTGTAAGTCAAGTTTTTTGTCCATTTGCATTCGTTTTGATGCAATAACTAATAATTTTGCGAAGTTTAATAGTTGCGATTTCGTGCGCTATAAGGCACAATTTTTTTCATTTTTAATTATTTTGAATTAACGACAAATAATTTTGCAGAGTTCAAAATTCACCGTAATCTATAACCTATGATTTATGTATATTTCTTTTCGTTTCAATTCAATGTGGATTAATTTAGCAAAGTTCAATTGTCATGATTTTATGTTCTATAAGCCACGATTTTTGGCTGTTTTTGTTTGTTTAGCAAATCATTAATTGGAGTTCAATAATCATGATCTCATGAACCCTTTGTCCATTTCGACTCAATGTGAATTAATTAAGCACATTTCAAATTTTATGATATCAGGAGCTATATGGCATGAGTTTTATTTATTTTCGTTCTTTTCAACCCAATGACAAATAATTATGTAAAGTACAAAAGTAATGAGTTCATCAGATATAAGCTATGATTTTTTGTCTACTTTTATGCATTTTTGATAAATAATTTTGTAGAGTTCAAAATTTACGATTTGATGAGCTATAACCTATGATTTTTTTCATTTTTATTTATTTTAACCCAATGTGAATTAATTAAGAGAAGTTTAAAGTTTACAATTTCATGAATAAGTTACGATTTTTGTCCATTTTTGTATGTTTCGACCTCGTGGCAAATAACTAAGCGAAGTTCAAAATTAACGATTTTATAAGTTATGACCCATAGCTTTTGTCCATTTACATCTGTTTTGACCTAATGACAAATAATTTTGTGGAATTCAAAATTCACAATTATATGAGCTATAAATCACGTTTTTTGTTCATTTCGACCCAATGACAAATAATTTTTCATAGTTCAAAATTCACATTCATGTGCTATAACCCACGATTTTGTCAATTTTTGTTCGTTTTGATCTAGTGGCAAATAATTAAGCGCAATTCAAATTTCACGATTTCATGAGCTATAAGCCATGATATTTTGTCCATTTTCGTTTATTTTCGACTATATGGCAAATAACTTTATGAAGTTTAAAATTCGTGATTTCATGAGCTAGTCATGATTTTTGTCCATTTTCAATTTTTTCAACCTAGTGACAATGGATTAAGCTTTGGTATAACCCATGATGCACCCACGACTTTTACGTAGACTTGTGCTAATTAAACTTTCATAATTAGAAAAATTCTTATTTACTTTGGTTTCAGTCACGTGCAAGGCATATGCGACCTACTGGCAACCAGAATGAAATCAAGCCATGGTTTGGATATAGACCCTGATACAAACATAGTGATATGTTGTGGCCAGACTGAGGCTTTTGCTGCGACAATGTTTGCAAGTACTTATTATTGCAATATTTTTCTTGCTTTTTTTGTGTATTTTTTTGCCAGATTTGATTGATTGTGTGACAGTAATTGATCGAGGTTTTTTCTTGCTTTTTTTGTGTATTTTTTTGCCAGATTTGATTGATTGTGTGACAGTAATTGATCGAGGTGATGAGGTTTTGATATTGGATCCTGCTTTTGAGACATACGAGACCTGTATAAGATTGGCCGGAGGGGTTCCTGTGAGTTTTTCCCCTCATTTTTGGCTTGAAATACTTCAAAGATCTGAAATAAAACAGAAATGATCTTTTCATTTTTATATTTTAGGTATATGTGCCCTTGGATCCACCGCATTGGGCTTTGAATGTAGATAGATTGAGAAAATCTTTTACAAGCAGAACGAAAGCCTTGGTTCTAAACAGGTTGGTACTCATCACTAACTGAAATAACTTTTAGGGTTAATTGCATATAAACACACTACATAATATGGGATTAGCCATTTAATGCCCTTAAACTTATAAGAAGTAACTAACTCTGTGTAGTACGGAGGGAATCAACAACTAACCCAAACTTTTATTATTCATTTTGTACCTTATAGCCACTGATGTTGCCAAGAGACAAATAATCAGACACCTGTATCATCTTACATGCACGAAAGTATAAAGATATTATAAATTTGTTCAAAGCTTTATTATGTGTAAAAACTAATTGATAATAGCGCAGTCCTCACAATCCAACAGGCAAAGTTTTCAGCATGGAAGAGCTTGAAGCCATTGCTGGGGCTTGTTGTGAAATGGATTGCTTTGCAGTTACAGATGAAGTATACGTTTCTTATTCTGTTTATTTTCAATAAAACTGCATTTAAAATACTAATTACGAAGTTTACCTGCATTTACGTGGAAAACCAATCCAAAACCATTACATATTCACTGGGATTGTGCGGAAACTATTAATTCTACATATTTTTTTGTGTACTTCCACTAAGGTTATGATTTGTATGTTTCTTTCAGGTTTATGAGTATATAACCTTTGACGCGAAAAAGCATATATCTCTTGCCTCTCTTCCTGGAATGCAAGAGAGGACTATTATCACTTCATCCCTGTCTAAGACTTTTAGTGTTACAGGTAGATAGTAATAGTAATCTAGTTCTTTTCGTCTATCTGATTTTGGTTTTGTAGTATCTTTCATCTAATCTTGACATAAACTATATTGTTTCCAGCTTTCTGGAATTAACCATTTTATGACAACATCGACTTCCTTTATCTGTCAGTTTTTGTTTTCCAATTCTTAAGTAATACTATTGTCCTTCCTTTGCTCTTTCAGTAATCAATTCTACTGTTCGTAAAAATCTTAATAGGATGGAGAATTGGTTGGTCTTGTGCTTTAGCTAACATAGCATCAGCAATAAGGAACATTCATGTCAAAATTACAGATTCAGCGCCAGCTCCTTTTCAAGAAGCTGCATTAACTGCCCTGAAAAGTGCACCGGCATACTTCCAGTCTTTAAAACAAGTAAGTGCTAATTATTTTTCTTCGTACAAGATTGTTGATTGTTCATATAACGGATTGAGCTTATGTAATCATTCCTAATCTTGAAGGATTATGAGAGGAAGAGAGATTACATTGTTGATGTTTTAGCTTCTCTTGGTCTCCAAATTCGATTCAAACCACAGGGATCATTTTTTGTGTTCACGGAGCTTCCCGAGACCTGGTTACTTTCCGATGTATGTTTATTTATCAGTAATCTTTCTTTATTTTCTCAGTCTTCCATGGTCTTTCATATTTTTATATGAGAACAACTAGTTCGTCTCATTTTTTTTATGTGCAAATACCAGACAATATTGAATTGTTGACCTATCAGTACACATTCATGTCCAAATATTTCTAAAAATTAAATATGATGTGGACCCTCTTAGTGCCTACTGTATTTTTGAAAAATTGTGTAAGTTATGCAGTCTAATTGCAATTACTATTTCATGTTAAGATATTTTTGCAATTTGATTGTACTAAGGCCCTTCGAGTGATATTTTTAAATCGTCGATAATTAATTTAGGCATGTCAACTACTGATCCTATAGTCAATCAACAACTGATTTATGTTTGATTTTCTATCCCAATTTTAAAATGTTAGGCAGCCTATATTCTAGGAAAAACTTCCATATCAATATTTACTGAGAGAACTGGCAGATAAAATAGCATAACATAATAGCTGTCAGTTGTAAAAAATAATCATCGACTCACTGAATCAATAGACTCCTAAGACATTAGTTTTACCTGGGGAATTCAGTTGTATGCATTTTCTCTTACCACAACAATTTTAATTTCTTCAGGCTTGATGTTTGTAGCTACTGAATAACTATTCTGCAAAATGTCAGTTCTCAGCAGCAAGATGATCTGTTTTAAATAAAATGATTTATTAGAACATACCTAGAGAAAGCATACAGTGTTCTCTCACTTGTGATTATACGTAGTAATCCTGCCCTTTTCGGCACCATGTACTGCTATAATTATATGTTGTGATTGTTCTTGAGCAGAAAAATAAATACAATCCTTCATTGCCTAAACTATATTTTGGTTGTTCCTAAGCTAAATAATTACTGAATTGTGCAGGCTGACAATCCTTCATTGCCTAAACTATATTTTGGTTGTTCCTAAGCTAAATAATTACTGAATTGTGCAGGCTGATTTTGTTAGAGAACTAATAAAGAAAATTGGTTGTTCCTAAGCTAAATAATTACTGAATTGTGCAGGCTGATTTTGTTAGAGAACTAATAAAGAAAAACGGGGTACGGCTGTACCTGGTTCTGGATTCTTTCACTCAGCATGTAACAATGGCGAGAAATATCACAACCGATATGTAAGGTTTTCTTTCTGCAAGAGTGATGCAACTCTTAATGCTGCTGCTCAAAAACTGCGAGAGCTCGCAAGAAGCAATGGATTTTTTTGCAGATGATCCAGAACAAAGTTTTTCTTGAGCTAGAATGGCAATTGGAAAAGGCTTCCGGTGTTTGAATTGCTTTCCTTATTCATTTCGGTGAAAATCTTGTCTAGTTAACATCATTGAATAAGTTGTCAATCGGATGGGGTTTCTGGATTCTTGGATTACGTGTCTCAGGCATATCTCCTACTCGGTAATTTTGAAACCACGAAAAGAGTCCTATATAGAAGACTGCGATGAGGAGATCCTTTGAGCCTGTATGTATTCATCTCATGTGCTGAAGGATTCTCTCATCTTCTTAGACGAGCAGAAGTTACAAAAGTCTGTCCATGGTGTAGCGGCCTGTCGAAGTGGCCTCGCATCTCGCTTTCGTTGTATTACAGACGATAGCCTGCATTTCGCCAGGGCAACAGAAGCAGAACGCGAGAAGTTGTTGGAGGTAATTTTGAAATGATCCTCTTTGTTTTTGCTCTCCCAAATGTTCTAAATGCTATCAAGCAGAGATTGTTGAGTATGATGGGCGTGGAGAAGTTCAGGTGCATGATGAGCATTTGGGACTTTCCTTCAACGATAGGGGGATTGAAAAAGAATGTTTGGAATTTTGAAAGATAAAAATGTTGAAGAAAATCCGAGGATGGAAAGAAAAATTGTTGTTGAGAGCCCGAGGAAGGTTTTGTTACAGTCGGTGGACCAAGTGATTCCAACTTATGGCATATTGTGTGCTTTTTCACTTCCAAAAACATTATGCGAAGGACTCAACGCCGTGCGCTGTGGACGAGAAAACACCGGATGCTCCGTTGGCTTAAATGGGAAAATCTTTGCAAAACTAAAATAAATTGGGGTGTGGGCTCCCAAGATTTTTGACTAAAAATGGCCAAAAATCATGGGATATAACTCATAAAACCGTGAATTTTGACCACCATGAAATTATTTAACAATCAAAATGAGGCAAAATGCCTAAATTCATGGGATATAGCTGACAAAATCTTGAATTTTGGAATTATTTGACAATAGGTCAAAATGACAAAAAATGGTCAAAACTCGTGGGTTATGGCTCACAAAATTGAGAATTTTGGCCACCATGAAATTATTTTAAAACGGGTCGAATTGATAAAAAAATGGTCAAAAATCTTGAGTTATAGCTCATGGAATCTTTAACTTTAGCATTCACAAAATTATTTGATAACGGGTTGAAACAACTGAAAATGGCAAAAAATCATGGATTATCGCTCATAAAAACAACTTGTCAACGTGTCAAAATAAGTAAATAAAAGGCTATAAATCATGAATTAAGCTCATAAAATCTTAAATATTGGCCTCCATGAAATTATATATAAATAGGTTGAAATGAGCAAAAATAATCATGGGTTATGGCTCATAAATTTGTGCAGTTTAGACTTCATGAAATTATTTGCTAATGGATTTAAATGAATTTTAGTCACCACGAAATCATTAGTTATAGCTCATAAAATCTTGAAATTTGGCCACCACAAAATTATTTGACGACAGGTTGAAATGACTACTTAAATTGCACAAAAAAGTCATGTGCTATAGTCATAAAATCATGAATTTTGGCATCCGTCAAGTTATTTGACAGTGAGTCGAAACAACTAGAACTGGGCAAAAATCATAGGTTATGGCTCATGAAATCATAAATTTTGGCATCCATGAAATTTATATGCCAAGTTGTTGTAATGATAAAAATGGCTAAAAATTATAGATCATAGTTCATTAAAATGTAAATTTTAGCCATCGCAAATTTTTTTGACCATAGGTCGCAATAATTAAAAATGCAGAAATAGTGTATTATAGCTCACAAGATTATGAATTTCGAAATCTTTTATTTTAGATATCGCGAAATTATTTTACTCTAGGTTGAAATGAATAAAAATGGCCAAAAATATCGGATTATAGCTCATGAAATCTTTTATTTTGGACTCCACAAAATTATTTGACACTGGGTCGAAATGACTAAAAATGACCAAAAATCATGGATCATAGCTCATGAAATCTTTAATTTTGGCCTCTACGAAATTATGTCAACGGGCCGAAACGACTGAAGAAATAGCTAAAATTTGTGCGCTATAGGATCATGAAATCGTGAATTTTTATATTTATAAAATTATTTGCCAATAGGTTAAAATAAGTAAAAATTGTGAAAAAACGGTGGTTATAGCTCACAAAATTATGAATTTTCTCCTTGGTGAAATTACTCATCAATGGGTTAAAATAACTAAAAATGACTAAAAATCATGGGTATATAGTCCATAAAGTTATAAATTTTGGACTCTTAGAAAATATTTTTCAATAGTTCGAAAAGACTAAAAATAGGAGGAAAACCATGGGTTATAGTGATTGTGAATTTGGTCTCAATGAAATTATTTGGCAATGTGTCAAAACGACTAGAAAAGGCTAAAAATTATGAGTCACATCTCATGAAATCATGAAGTTTGGACACTAAAAAATTATTAATCAATGTGTCAACAAGAGCAAAAATGACCAAAAATCATAGGTCATAGCTCACTAGACCATAAATTTTGGCCACTGTAAAATTATTTGATAATGGGTAAAAATGAGTAAAATATGCTTAGAATCATGGGTCATAGTTGATAAAATTATAAATTTTCACCACTGCTAAATTATTTGACAATGGGTCAAAATGACAAAAATGGTAAAAAATCATGGGTTATGTCTCATGAAATAGAGAATTTTGGTCACCACGAAATTATTTGAAAATGGATCAAGTTAACTAAATATGACCAAAATTCTTGGATTATAGCTCATGAAATCTTTAATTTGGCCTTGTAAAATTATCTAATAATAGGTCAAGATGACTAAAAATGGTAAAAAATCGTGGATTGCTCATGAAATCTTAAATTTTGACCTCCATGAAATTATATGCTAAAGGCTCAAAACTACTAAAAATGGCTGAAAATCATGAGTTGTACCTTGTGAAATGATGAAGTTTAAACTCCATGATATTATTTACTAATGGGTCTGAATGAACAAAAATGTGCACAAATCAATTGTTATAGCTTATAAAATTATGAATTTTAGCCACCGCAAAATTATTTGACAATGGGTCAAATTGGCAATTAAAATTATAAAAAATCATGGTTATAGCTCATAAAATTGTGAATTTAACAACAGGTCAAAATGACAAGAAAGTGGCAAAAATCATGGATTATATAGCTCATGAAATCATAAATCTTGGCCTCCATGAAATTAATGCCAAGGGATCAAAACGATAAAAATGGCTAAAAATCACAGATTATATAGCTCACGAATTTGACAATTTTAACCACTACAAAATTATTTGACAACAGGTCAATATGATTAAAAATGTAGAAAATCATGGGTTATAGGCTTATAGCTCATGAAATCGTGAATTTGGTCACCACATAATTATTTGAAAATGTATCGAAACAACTAAAAATGCCCGAAAAATCTTGGTTTGTAGCTCATAAAATCTTTAATTTTAGTCTTCACGAAATTATTTGATAGCGGGTCAAAACGACTAAAACTGACAAAAAAATTATAGGTTATAGCTCATAAAATCTTAATTTGCCTCCATGAAATTATTTGTCAAACAGGTTGAAACTACTTAAGGAAAAGTTTTAAAAAAAACAAATTAGTGCTCATGAAACTATAAATTTTGGCCACTGCAAAATTATATGTCAATGGGTCGAAATGACTAAAAACGACCCAAAATTGTTGGTTATAGCTAACGAAATTTTGGAGTCCGAGAAATTATTTGTTAATGGATACAAACGATTTAAAATGGCCATAAACCATGGGTTATTGCTCATGAAATGATGAATTTGACCTCCCTGAAATTATTTGCTAATGTCTCAAAATTACTAGAAATGACCAAAAATCGTGGGTTCAAATTGTGAATTTTGGTCACTACAAAATTATTTATTAATGAGTCGATATGACTAAAAATCACTAAAGACCATGGATTATAGCTCACGAAATCATAAACTCTGGCTACCACAAAATTATTTTATGACGGGGTGAAATGACTAAAAATGGCTAAAACTCATCGGTTATAGCTCATGAAATCTTTTACTTTATTCCCCATGAATTATTTGACACTTTATTAAAACTAAAAATGGCCAAAATCGTAGGTTATAGCTCATGAAAACTTGAATTTTAGGCTTTACAAAATTATTTGTTAATAGGTCAAACAACTGAAGAAATAGTCAAAATCAAGAATGAGAGCTCATGAAATTTGTAAGTTATGGCCTCCATGAAGTAGTATGCCTAGGGCCGAAAATATTAAAAATAGTAAAAGAATTGTGGACCATAGCTCAGGAAAACGTGAATATTGGCCACCCTAAATGTAATAATCTATTTTTTTTAACACCAATCAATTATTGGGAGGCCCACATGATGTAAGGTTTTGGAAAAAAAAAAACAAACAAACAAGTTCTCAAAGGCCCATCCTAACAAGCTCAATATATAACTTCATTTTCATATTACTACTCATCCTAGCTACTAGATCCCTGGTTGATTTTTTTTTGCGGACCCCACCATCAAATATTAATCATCTACTATCATACCTTTTGAATGCACATAGATCATGAAGCGGCAGCAGTTTTTTTTTCCAGCACAAAACCGTTAGCACTAAACAAATCCCCCTCTCCCCTAATTATCTCCCCACTAATAAGGGCCTGTTTGTTTGCACGGAAGTAATTATAAAGTAGCTGAAGTAAAAGAAGTAGATGTTACTTCAGCTACTTCCAAGCAAAAAAATAT